ATGTCAGACATGTCAGAAATGTCAGATATGTTAGATTTGTCAGATCTGTCAGATTTGTCGATCATCTGCGCCACGTAAGTCCTATCATATTTTATTCGTTCACAATATTTATTATTTAAGATAATTTTATAACTATTAAATTGCAATTAATTGCAAAATCTTAATTATAAAAATTATAATATAAAATTCATAACTAATTAAAATTAAGAATTAAATCTAAGTTGTAACCAGTTGCAAATCTTACAAATCAGTTGCAATATCATCTATTTTTCTTTTTTTCAATTTTATTATATATATATTTTTTTAATAGTATTAATCTCAAATGCATATTTTATTAAAATTTTTTTTAGTAAAAATTATTTTTCAGAATTTATTTTAATATAGTTTTTTTAATGCTAAATTTTATTTATTAATATTTATTTATTATTGTAGAAAAATAAAATATAAAATAATAAGTATATATTATAAATAAAAGCTTTAATAAAAAAATTAATTTTTATTTTTTTATAAATGAGTCAAATAATTTAAACTAAAATTTTTATTTTTTAATATTTTATTTAATTGTTAATAAAGTTAAAAAAAATAATTTATATGAAAAGAATATTTATAAATATTAAATTTAACATTCTATTTTATTAAAATATTTAAATTTACAAATTATCTTTTTATTAAATATTAAATTTATAATGAAAATAAAGATTTATATAATGTATAACTAAAAATTTAAAAAAAAAATTGTTATTATGTTCGTAACTTGACCATTCGACCCATATATTGTATAAATAATAAAAGCCTGAAGAAAATATATTCATGAAATATAAAAACTGTCTAAAATTTATATCAATGAAATAAATTTTGGACAAAACATCTAATATAAAATCATAATCTAGATATGTTTTGCTAAAATATATATTATTATAAGTTTATTAATAGATAGTAATTCAAATCTAAAGCTAATCTATATTTAGGATTCTTTCATTTCAAATTCTTGGTTTTTCCTTTTTCTCGGGTTCTTACTAATGTATTCTTTCTATATAAGTTAGATAGCACCAATTTGGCCTAAAAATGATATGATGATATGATAAACACAAACATTTATATAAAAATGACAAATCTAACATAAAAGAACGAATCGTATGTATTTACCATTGGAAAAAGAGCCGATTAATCCCTCATTCTTCTTCTTTCTGAATCTTTACATCCTTTGTAAGTTTGACAGGACCTGTTGGACCTAAAAAAAAAGAATAAAAAAAATTAAAAGAATAATATAATGAATAACAGACAAATATGAAAAATACAACAAGAAATAAAATATTATGTATTTACCTTGGGGAAGACAAAAAATTCCTTTTTCGATACCTTTGTTGATAGCCACTCGGAAACGCTTGTTTGTACTGGAATTGTCGGGAAGTTTGTATGTATTCACAAGGAATTGTTTAATAGCTTGTCGTCTATTGTTAATAAATTAAGTGAAAATTTATTAATAAAAGAAAAAAGAAAAAAAAATGCGTTGTCAATAAAGACTTTGAAACATATGAAAACTCTAGAAAGCTTCCTAACTTGCTTCCATCAGGTTCCTTTAAAGCAATAATAGCATCTGCAAATTGTAAATATAGTGTAATTCATTACGAAAATTAATAAAAGTTTTTAGATGAGTATATGTATATATTTATTTATAATTACTAATCAAGAGAACCCATTTTAAAATATTTCGTCGGTTCTGAAATTAATAAACATTAAAAGACAGGTCTTATAATTCTACCTCGAACCATAATTTCGTATTTAGGATGGTTTGCTGCGATCGATATTTTATCGGTATTTTTTTTGCTTTTTTCCAATTCCTCTTGTTAAAGTTTTGAAAAGGTAGAAAAGGTTTATTTTACCGAATATGAGAACAAATTTTTTAGAGAAATTGTCGGGTTGCGAAAACAAAAAAAAAAAAAATAGAGAAAAAGTCGAATTGGGTTGCGCTAATGTTTCGTGATTTAATCAGGTACGCGTATGCGGTACCCAAAAAATAAATAACGCAAGTTATTGAAGTAGAAATATGGTACACTTTATTTTTGCACATTGCTGCCCCGACGCGTATTGTAGTAACATTTCCAATAATCATGCGTTATTTGCTAACTTACCTTGTATGACTTGATAACGATAGATAATTTCTAAATCTACTGTTTCGGTGTCCAATAGTTTTTGCTGATGGTAAAATTTTGCAAAGTCAAGATTCATGTTGAGAATAGGAAGTAAGGAGAAAGTAATAGTTAATACGAGAAATAAAATTATGATCGCGATTTATGCGGTTGATCGACTTCATTTTGTGAAACGTGATCACTAAAAGCATCTTTACGTAATTAGGTACATTTAATTTCTAACTTTTCATTTACAGACAGGTTAGAATTTATAATGCATCTTACGTGTTTCGCCAAAAAAAAAAAAAAATTCTGAATTCATTTAGATTGTTTGTTTGTGGTTAGTAGGGCATCATTTATGTCAATCAAATTGTCCACATCGTAGAAAATTACTTCTTTCTCATAGCTTCCGGGATATCCGACTTTCGAATTTGCATTTCGGTTGAAATTCTGAGATTAATATGACATGATTTTAATCAAAAGATGAGTATGAATAAATAGTTTAGATTCTATTTTTTTTATATGCAAAACAGGAATATCAATCGATCGGATTTCCATGATGCGATAATAATATGATGTTTCCAATGGATGATTAATTCGATTCTTAGATCTGGGCTTGGTCGAGGGGCGAGTTTTCGTATTGATTGATTTCTTACCAAAAATGCTAATCAAACTTACCTTTAGCAGATTCTACTTTGATCAACACGAATTTTTATAAGGTAATGCGAGGCAGAAGCGGAAAAATAATTACCGAGTTTGGATAATCATATTTACCACATAACGGTGTAGCATTAGTTTTTTTTCCCTCAAACCTGCAAATATGTTAAATTCCCAGAGTGTCGCTGATCCAGATTTTCGTGATACGATTGACATTCTTTATCTACGATGATCAATACTGGCGATGGAGTAAAAAGAGACAATAATACCAAGCAAAATTATTTTTTTTCGGCATCAATCGAGACGAAAATAGGGAGATAGCAAACCCATTGCCGATGCGTAGTACTTGTTTATCGAAGAATTCTTTCCGGGATCGATTGTATAACAGTTGATGCAACGGCAAATGTTTCTTAAAAAAAGAATCTTCACATTTTCTCCGCAAGCGAACCGAAAAATGTAAGCGGTCGTAGAACTTGCTTTTAATCATTTATTGATCTCCAATCCGTTGATTGATATGAGGAAAAAATCAAAGGTCATTATTTATACAGAATCAATCTATCAATCATAATTCTCAAGATTTCAGCAGCGAAGGTCGTGAAGGACTAAAGAGCGATTACGAATTTTTTATCGAACTTTCAACACCAAACTATTTGCAAATGTCGACATCGAGTGTATGTAATATCTAGCTAGATTTCTGAGAATAATATTTCATGACTTTGGCTCTTGCATCACGGATCCTTGTGGAATATTATCTCTGGTAGGTTTAACTTTTGTAATTAAAATTCGCAAATTACGAACGAGAACTCATCAGTTTCGGCATCACAGGTTCACGTCGATTTTCAGCGGCAAAAGACACAAAGTGACAAGGATTCCGAATCCTCGTCTCTATCTAGATTCCTTCATCTGAATTACTATGATTTCGATTCTTGGATCGTGGTTGTTGTACCCAAAGGATGGTATGTAAAGAGTAATTATCTGATAAGCCTTTGAGTTAATACAAAAGATGTTAATTGGAATTGCCCTTCACTTTTATCATCACGACAGGAGCGGAAAAATAATTTCTGATTTTGTTTATCAGGCACGTAAGTGCCATTGCTCTGCAATAACCATCCGCACCACGTTTTGAAAATCTCACACAAGTACCGGACATTATGTGAAGTAAGTCCCCTAGGGATATCTGTTGATCCAGTTTGCGTACTTGCCGATTCCAAGATCACGGGCAACGTTATAAAATATATAAACGGTAAAAGTTACATCGAATAGTTCTTTGTTAAATCAAACACTAAACTAAATGAAAATACTGAGATATGTTATTTAAAGCTTCGAGGATCTTCATCACGTTACTAATTGAATTTTCGGTAATTTTAGATGTTTCATCTCGGAAAATTTTCTATCCTTTATATTCAATCGCCTTGTCAATGCATGATCGTATCATTTGGTGCAGTACACGTCAACCTGGTAGTATTGGGCAAATATCGATTCGGAAATTTTATTCACCACACATCTCACGTATTATTTTTTATAATAATGATGCAAACATCATTTTATGCTTGCCCAAGTGCATATATCATTGAATTTAATAAATTTTTCACTCACATTGGGCTTATAAATTTTAACTTGAATGCTTATATGGAATATGAAGCGCATCAGAATTTTTTCAATTGTAAATTTTACTAACTCAATAATTTTAGAGTAATTTGGATCGAAAATACACATATTATAAAGCAAATTGATGCTTCTACGGTCTCCAGTTTCTCAGGTACTATCAATACCAATTTAACCACCTAAGATTATATAAAAATTAAATATAAATAATTTATTTCCAATTGACTCTTCAAATACTAGTCCTTACTAGTCCTTAAAGATAATTACCTAAAATAATTACCTAATTCTTTCTACAAATATCCAAACATAAAAGTAAATTTTACTTAAATTACAAACGACATAGCAAATAAACAAGTCTTCAACTGATCATTTATTTCAAATTAGTAAATTTTTTATTTTTTTTATCTCATAATTAATGAAATTTATTGGGTTTCCGTTTCCCTGGTGAGAAATATTCCCGTTGCTCACAAAATCATAGAATTAGCTGCGCCCCTTACCTCTTGTGTTTTCTTCTAATATGTACAGAAAAAAATTTATAGTTTGAACATAGGTTAACAAAAAAAGATATCTGTTAAAACTAAACAAAGGACAAATTCATAGGATAAAACACAATTGAAATACGATACGGTTAGATTCATGGTAATCTATTTTTCAATTTAGATCAACAGATATTCCGAATTCGTTAGAATTCTACCAAAATTATTTGGATAACATCTCTGCTCGCGCGCGTACATAAAGTCACGTGGAAACGAAATATGGGGAGGAAAATATGACGAGATATCAAGTTGGGATAGGCCATAAATTACGTGTTTAAAAAACGATGATGAAATCGATTATAATCTATGCCGATTTATCACCTATTGTTGTGTTTCACTGGACATTTTTAATTATAATTTATACCTAAGTATTTAATTATACTTTTTACTATAATTTAAATTCAATTAAAATTTTATTAATAAAAATATTAATAATTAATAATGCAAATAGATGGTAAGTATGGTAAGTGATTTTTATTAATTATTAGTATTTAATTATGCTTTTTACTGTAATTTAAATTCAACTAAATTTTTTATCTAAAATATTTTAGATGGTAAATTATTTTTAGTATTTAATTATACTTTTTAATGTAAATAAATAACTAAAAAATTTTTATTAAAAAATAATTATTATTTTAGATTGTAAGTTATTTTATTATTTATTAGTATTTAATTATATTTTTTACTGTAATTTACTCAATATTTTTGTTTAAAAAAATAATAATAATTAATAAATAATAGTTTGTAAGTTATTCTTATTGATTATACATACTTTTTATTATATTTAAATTTTTATTTAAAAAAATGATTAATATTTTAGATTGTAAGTTATTTTTATTAATTATAGTCTTTAATTATACTTTTACTATAATTTAAACTCAACTAATTTTTTATTTAAAATATAATAGATGATAAGTTATTTTTATTGATTATCAGTATTTAATCATACATTTACTATAAAATTTAATTCAACTAAATTTTTTATTTAATTTATAATAGATGGTAAGATATTTTATTGATTATCAGTATTTAATTAAATTTTTACTATAATTTAAATTTGACTAAATTTTTATTTAAAAATCAAAAATATTAAGGGAGTAAGTTATTTTTATTGATTAATAGTATTTATTTATATTTTTACTTTAATTTAAATTAATTAAACTTTTTATTTAAAAAACATATTAATATTTTAGATTGTAAGTTATTAGTCTGAAGTATTAGTGAAGGACTATATATACCTATGCGCTGTATCCTGTTTATACATGAAGTTGAAATGGATCATTTCGGATATCCGAAATGGTCGAAATGGTCGAAATCTTTTTTTATTATTTTTTTTTTAATACTTTTACTAGGCACGCACAAGTGGTAATATATTTGGATGCATACCATTCAACAGAATGATACGTTTTACAACACGTTTAATTCCACTATTACAGTCCGGGATTATACTAAAAATGGAAATGAAATCTAGAATAATCTACAGTCACGTGTATAACATTTAATTGGTTATTAATGGCAGAAGATCCCGATAATTGTGCCGATCCAAAGCTGCAGACAAAAAATACTTTACATAATAAATATACTCTTTCGAGTGTATACTTCAATAATTCGCTTTCATCTCTAAGGCTTTGCTTAGTAGTATAGAGTATAATATTGGCTTGAAAATTAACCTTTAAAATGGAAAGTAAACCATCTGCTAGAACACTACCATGCTTATTTGAAGGGTTTTTCGCTAAATATTCAGAAAGTCAACTAGTATCATATAAAGTTGGGGAAAAACAAAAGTGAAGGCATACATCAGCAGAGGCAGTAGTAGACCGAATTGGCATTTTTGCTAAGTATTTTCCTGAATTATCTTCAATAAGCAATTCTTTAGAAAGTTATTCAATTTGTGAAAGACATTACAATCAAATTATCGTTACTGACACTTTTCTCAATAGGTTAACAATAGCAAATAGTTCTAAAGTAAATAATCAACGAAAAAGACTAAAGACCAATAAAGATAAAAATATTATGCCACAAGATTATGAGAGTCTTATGCTAGAGTTATCAGATACAAAAGAAGCTTTAACTAATTCCGAATTTCAACGAATAAGATATGTTGAACTTATAAAAGAATATGAGCAGAGGATCATTCAATTAGAATCTGAAAATAAAGAATTAAAAAGGAGGTGGGATTGTAGATTTGATGACCAACAAACGAGGATTGTTTCTATTATTAAAATCGCAAAGAAAGAACGCAAATGATTTTACAATGATATTATTAATTTGATGAGTGATCAGAAACGTTTTAATTTAGATG